CATGATGGCTGCCTGGACATGGCCCTGCACCTCTGGAATTACAGGGCCTCTGAGAGACAGAGATGGTTTCATTGAGCTGTGCTTCCTCAATGCAGCAGCTGAGGTGGCCTTTCTCAGAGAATCAGTCATTTTAGAAGAGGAAGATTTGGAGTGAGTCAGGGAAGGAAAACTCAGTTCAGAATTCCCATTGTCAAATTCTGGACTGCTGACCGAGCGGAGGGGGTTCCCCCACCTGGGCCATGTTCTGCCCCAGGAAGCCTTCCCCCTGTAGGATCCTGGTAGGTAAAGGGTGTCATTCAGTGCCAGGACGTTCCCAGTCTGCCTTTGCAAACTATCCCGTTAGATGGCATGCCAGGCTGGAATCGTCTCCTATGGCTTCTCCCGGGGTCCCGCCCATGCCTCTGTGCCCTCTGCTGTGCTGACAGGAGGAGGCCAACCTCAGATAGGCCCCCCTGTACCCCACTGCGTGGGGCTGCTGACCTCAGGCCTGCTCCCAGGTCCAAGATTATAAAAACGGGCCCACTTGCCTGCTCACAGCTTATCTCGTCACCAGCAGGCACTGTGGGTGCTGGGGTGCCTTGGTGGAGGGAGCAGAGAGCTCCCCAATGGAGCTTACTTCCCAGTGGGAGTCCAGAGGGGGAGATAGGTCTAAATAGCTTTTTCTTTTTGGGGAACTGTTTTTCGTTGGGAATTAGGTTTCCCATGGCCTCCCTCAATGTGAATGAGACGTCTGATTTATGGGAGAATATGCGTCCGCTCGTCTGCCATGACCAGACGCCACGGACTGGGTGGTTTCAACAGCAGACATTTATTTCCTCACAGCTCTGGGCACGGGGAGGCCAACATCAGGATGTCAGCGGGTTTGGGTTCTCCTGAGGCGGCCTCCTTCTCCCGGTGTCCTTAGTTGGCCTCGGTATGCACACCCTCGGTTTGGTGTCTCTGCCCCAGTCCTTGCGGATTAGGACCGCACCCTATGACCTCATTTAACCTTAATCACCTCCCTTAGCCTCTGTCTCCAAATACAGCCCCATGGAGGGTTCAGGCTTTCACATACGAATTTTAGGGGGGATATCAACTCAGTACACAACAGGACCAGACACCCTTTAGCTTTCAAGCTGGGCCCTATTTGGTAACAGCCACATGCATGTATCTGCTTGATGATCACCGAGGCTCCCAGCCGTATCCAGTTTCTCCAGCAGAATTCTGCCTCTTTTGGGGTAGATGCGATGCAGGCCCAGGGAAAGCTAGGTGAGTGTTCTGTTTTCTTAAAAAAAAAAATCTATCTTTATTGTCAAAAGGATTACAGATGTCCTCTTCCCCATATTCTGTTTTGATAGAGGCAATCAGAAATATCATTTGCCATTTGGAATGCCATTTTGACAGTTGGGAGCACAGGAGAGTCTGTATGCAGAACCCTACACCAGCACCACCCTAAGTTGCTGCCCCCATTGCCAGGGAGGAAGTGGTTGAATCTGACCTGGCACTTGCAGACTCCCTCCTTTTCCTAAAAGAAAGGAGGGCCAGCCCCTCTCCCACACCAGGCAAGGCTCGTCCTTCTCCCTGCCACTGGACTTGTGGTTGGGGCCCCCTCTCCATTCTTGCGGTCCCCTCCTGATCTCTGGCCCCTTGACCTCACTGCCTGGGTTCCTGCAGCAGCCACATGAGCCGCCTCCTTGCCTCCGGCCCAGCTTTCTAATATCAATAAAATAGCTACCACTCTCTAAGTGGCTGCTGTCTGTGCACAGTCTCTCATTTAACCACATAATCCCAGGAGGCTCAGGTCCTGTCCCTAATAAGTGACAATCCTGGAGTGCTTACTACTCGACACTTTACATGTGGTAACTCATTCAGCCCACAGCTGCCATAGGGTGGGAAAACGGAGGCCAGGAGGGCTATAAAACTAGCCAGAGGTCACTCGGCAAGTGGCGAGGAGTGTTAAGAAACATTAGCGGTATCCTGATGTTGTCTTATCTGTGCTTAAAATGACTGCCCATCCTCACCACAGTCAGCAGAATGTGCTGTTAATTGCAGAGCCAGTCCCAGCTCCATCACTGGCTCTCTGGGTGGCCTTGGATGAGATGCTGACCCTCTCAAGCCCCATTTCCTCACCTGTAAGATGAGGATGGGATCACAGAGCTTGCAGGCCCCCAGCAGCATCAGGAGGTGTCCATGGTGGGTCTAGGCCTGCCCGCCTCCCGCTTCCTGGCCTTGCTTTGAACGTGCCACACAGTTTTATACCTTCAACGTCTTGGCCTCCAGGGAGAGCCCCTGTGCTCTCTTCTGTTTGACACAAGGCTATCACCCCTCAGCGGAGTCTCGGCATTCCCTCAGGGGCTGGTCCTCAGTTTCCCCATTAGAGGGGCGGGGACCTGCCTGGGCTCCGAACTGCCTGGAGCCCCCAGCACAAGGCGAAAAGCCTATGGACTGAGCTCGCTGTCCCTCAGCCCAGGCTGCAGCCTTGAACATTGGGTGTGCGGACCCCGTGAGGTCCCACCTCACCCTCTTCTCTATTTGAGTCTCTGCTGAAGGAACACCGATTTCCCCCAATTTCAGCAACTTCCTTCCAGGGTCCAGGATGGTAGAGCCTTGAGATTCAGAACATGAAAGCCGCAGGGAAACATATGATTATTCAATTAGATCGTTTTACAGACGAAGAAGCGGGGCCCAGGCCAGTCGAGTGTTGTGGGGAAATCCTAGGGCTTATTTAACCAGATCCAGGTTCAAATTCCTGCTCTACCCCTGACCGCCTCTGACAGCTTGGGCAGGTTGCTTCAGTTTTCCCAAGTGTAAAACAGATGGTGGCCTCTCCCGTGAAGGATTTGGGCACGCGTTCAGCAGGTGCCTCGCAACCTTCTGTGTTGGGACGGGCCTCGGGAGAGCGCCTGGTGCGTGGGACTGCTCCACGGTGTTGGCTCATCCAGGGACTCACGCTCACCATCTCTAGTGGTGATGGGCATTGCCTGGTGCACAGGGCCAGTGGGGCTGGTGGGGGCATTTGGAGCCGTGGGGCCCCAGGACCAGAGGCTTCCCTGGCCGCCCTTCCCTGCCCGAGCCTCCCTGTGCCAGGCCCAGGATGGCAATCATGCAAGGAACAGCTTTGCTCTATTTATCTTGTTAAGCTCCCCAGTCACAAGTGGATACCAGATCTCCGAGCTGCTTGGAGCTTTCTGCGTTGAGGGTGGACCTTGAGTCCCCAGCCCTGAAGAGGGGTTACGGGTTGTGGTCCACATCAGAACCCACTGACTGTGCTCTGGGCAGCAGAGTTCCTGGGTGGGAAGAAAGGCCACTGGTGAGCTAATTAGGGGTTGTTCAAGTGTAGTTGGGAAGAAAGCAGAAGGGTTCCCCCCTACCCCCAAGCCTTTCCACAGTTCTGTATCGGAGAAAGGCCCACAGCCAGGAGCAGGGAAGCCTGGGTTCTGGGCCCAGCCCTGCCACTGGCCTGCTGCTTGTGACTGTGGGCAAGACCGGAGCCCTCTTGGACCTGGTCCCCCCTCTCCCCCCGTCTCTGAGGCCCACCTCCTCCTGGCTCCTTTCCTGGCCCTGTGGTGATGGAGCTGGAGGCGATGCTGGCTGAGTGCTCTGGCTCTGGCCTGGCTGCCCAGCCCCTTCCCTCCTCCTGTGACTGGAGCTGGGGATGCGGTAGCTACAGAGGGGCGGAGAGGGGCTGGCCAGAGCTGCAGGCAGTAACACTGGGAAACAGGGTGGATGGCACCATTCGCTCTGCCATCCTCTTTCCAGATGGTCTCACAGCATCTGTTCTCACTTGATCTTGGCAGCCACCCTCTGAGGTAGAGAGGGTTGGTCCTCATTTCACAGGTGAGGTAACCGAGGCCATTATGGGGCGAGGTCTGAGGACACACGGGGTGGCACATAACCAGGCCTCCTGTCCTGCCCACGGCTGGTGGGGGCTTCTCCGACCCGAGGCCAAGCGCCTGCTGCTGGCCTCTCCCCTTCTCAGAGTCCTCAGGTGACCAGCAAGCCCTGGTGTCTCTACCTGCACACACTTGCCCACATTCGGAGAATGCCCTCTCTAGAATGGCATGGATGATGAAGATACCACTTCAGCCATCCAGCCCTGCCCATTCCACTGTTCACATCTCCGGGAGCAGAACCATTCTGAAGGTGGGGTGAGGAGAGAGGCTCAGAGCCCCTTACTCAGTGTACATAGCTGGGAGTGGCCCAGCCTGGCCTCGAACGCAGGCCCTTTGCCTCCTATGTGTTGGTCATTCTGCTTCCCCCACCACAGGGTCTAGGCTTGAAATTCGGGGACAACCCCACTCAAGAAGCTTTTCCTTAGTTATTTTCCTGGGATGCACCCTCCACCGGGACTGTGTTTTGAAAAGCCCATCCACTAATATTCTCACTGTTAAAAAAGACCTTGCTTGGGGCAAAACATCACAGTTAACATTTTTAGAAATTGTGAAAGATTAAAAAAATTAATGAAGATTTAAAGGACATATAAGCAGAATTTAAAACAAACTGTCCCTCAAAATGTCAGCCTCGACCTTCTCCTTCCAGAACACAGTAGAAGGTGTGTGTGGATGTGTGTGTATGTGGGGGGCAGACCCTAGGGTATCCTGGGAGGCAGGACAGGATGGCATCCAGGGCAGGAGGGGGTGAGCTGGACTTGGTAAAAGGAGGAAATGATTTCTTTTCCTGCATTCTCCTCTTCAGACCTCCTGCCTCTTTTGAACCTTTCCTCAGCCTCACTTCTCTTCCTCCCCTCTCCCCTTTTCCTCCACACTCTTCCTTGCTGGCCAGACAGCATATCTCTACCTTCCTACCTGTCCCTCCCTCTGCTCTCCCTCCCTTCCCACCTGCCTGCCATTCCTCACCTTCCATCCTTGCTCTGGGCTTCCTCAGCCCTCGGCCCTCAGGTTCCTCGCCGCCCCCTTCCTGGGCCTCCCCACTGTGAGTGCCCTGGCTCATGCCTGACTCTGGGTACTCAGACCCATGGCCTCTCTGTCCCGTTCATGGCCTCTCTGTCCCCTGTCTTCCAGGTCACCCAGACCCCAGGCCACGTATGTGAATGGCAGCCTCCCAACTACACAGCACATCAAGCAAGAGTCCCTGCCCGTCTACCGGGCAATGATGGAAGCTCGGGTACCCCTCTCAGCCCACTGCCAGGCCCCACCAGCCTCTGGCCCGCACACAGACCTGGACCTCCCGGGCCGAAGCCTTGCCCACCCCGCACCTTCCTGCTACCTTCTAGGCAGCGAATCCAGCTCCGGCCTGGGCCCGCCACCTGAGGCCCACCTCCCCGAGGGCGGCCTGAAGCGCTGCTGCCTCCTGGGCCTGCCCGTCACCTCCTCGGCCTCCTCCTCGCCCTGTGCCTCCTCCGACATCACCTCCATCCTCCGCTCCTCCCAGACTACTCTGGTCACCTGTGTGAATGGACTCCGGAACCCCCCTCTCCCAGGAGACCTGGGGGGCCCTCCCAAGCGGGCCCAACCCGGCCCTGCAACCACTGAGAGCCACGAGGGCACTTTGCAGGCGGAATCCTGCCGGAAGGTGGGCTTCCTGAAGCAGGAGCCTGCGGACGAGTTCTCAGAGCTCTTCGGACCTCACCAGCCCAGCCTGCCACCCCCCTACCCCGTGCCTCAGGTGCCTTCAGGCCTAGGCCTTGGCGGCCTGGGGCTGGGCCTGGCCGGGAGGGGGGCTGGGCGGCAGGCATGCCGCTGGGTGGACTGCTGTGCAGCCTACGAGCAGCAGGAGGAGCTGGTGCGGCACATCGAGAAGAGCCACATCGACCAGCGCAAGGGCGAGGACTTCACCTGCTTCTGGGCGGGCTGCGTGCGCCGCTACAAGCCCTTCAACGCTCGCTACAAACTGCTCATCCACATGAGGGTGCACTCAGGCGAGAAGCCCAACAAGTGCATGGTGAGTTCCCATGGCCACCAGGCCACGTCCACCCGACCCGCATGGCCCGAGAGGCATGCCTGGGCCTCCTTGCCGGGGGCTGGCTGAGACCCGCTATGGCTGAGTGAGGAGGGGAGGAAGAACACTATGGATGTGGCCGCTGTCAAGATGATCAGTGCACCTGTCACTGGGAACCTTGGCAGAGGGTCCCTGGTACTCGCCTCGCCGTGTGCCCCTTCCCTACCCCAAGGCATGCCACACGGCCTGGTGTGCACACACACGGTAGGTGGTCACACACTTGCTCTGAAGTCAGAGCAGGCTCACCAGCCTTCTCCCTTACATGCACGTGTTCAGTGTCCCACATGCTGACGGCCATGAGAGTCATGGGGCACAAGCTGTCCTGCTGGGTCCTGGGCCTCCTGGGAAGCCCACAGCTTGGCTGACCCTGTAAGGAGCACCAGGTCTTCATGAGCATCCAGTTGAGCTATGGGTCCCCTTAGGGGTATGGCCTAGGGTTAATAGATAAGGCAGCACCTGCAGTGCTGCTGCAGTATACACACACACACACACACACACACACACACACACACACCTGCAGCCACATGGGCCTCTGGCCATTGTGACCATTTCTGCGTCAGCTCTCACGGTGGTGGAAATCCTTATCGGAGGAATGTAGTCCCTGGTATCCTCAGCTGAGCCACTGTGCCTACCACCAAGGCCCAGCCAGCCCCCCAGGAAAAGTGCCTGCCCACAGTGGAAGGACTGTGGAGCCACAGTGCCCACCTATGGGGGCGTTGGTGAGGCAGAGGGAGGGAGCTGTGTGTCTGGGCTGCAGTGGTGTCAGAGCCAAGGTTGAGTTCCTCCACACTTGAGTGCTGTCACTGTCACTGGGCCCTGCCTCGTGGGGCGCACAGTCTGAAAAGGGGTGCAGTGGGAACAGGGGCACATATCTGTCAATGCTCAAAGCCTAGGGCAGCTTTGGCAGGGACAAGGGAGGAGGCAGGAAGCATTGGCAACCGGCAGCATAAACTCCGTCCTGCTGGGACCAGGTATGCGTCCTTTGGTCCCCATCTTCTCGTGCTGCTGTGAGCTGGGCATTGCCGGGCCCAGCCTGTTCAGCGTTGAGGAGGCCGGGTCTTGAGGATGAGAAGTTCACTTTATAGGCAAGTGAGGGGCAGTGAATAGCCGGCGGTGGGGGTGCTGCTGTTGTGGGGAGAGGCAAGTGTGGGCAGGCTGAGAGCTTGAGTTTATTATGTCTTTGGCCCAAGAGTATGCTGGAGGGAGAGCTGGTGGCTGGGCCACTCTCTGGGGATGCTCCAGTTCACATCAGGTGTCACAACACATGGCTGCTGAAAGGCATGTTCCTGCTTGGGAGGAGAGGACCCACAGGCATCACAGACCAGGGCTGCTGGCAGACAGTGGGACCCTCTCTCCCTCTGAGACCCTGGAGCTAGAGTCCTTCCTGTCTCCTTTCCTGTGGGTGAGCCCACTGGTGTCTGGGGGCCTATGTGGAGGCTATACGGTCTGATTCTCGGCGAGGGCCTTCTCACCTGAGGGCCTCCCTGTGTGGAATCACAGCATGCAGGAGTGTCCGTGTTGCACATTAGGGACCTTGGAGATGATTGAAACGATCCTGCCCATTTTCTAGTTTGGTAAATAGAGAACTAACAAGTGGGTCAGAGAAACACAGATTATTCCGTGTAGTCTCGGGATTCCCTGTCTGGGCTTCTTGCTTGATTCAGCAGACTCCACAGAAAGACACTGGCATAGACCTGACTCGGGGTACTCAGACCCAGACCTGCCATCTTCCTTGCTCTGGGGCACTCATGGTCAGGGAGGGGTAGGAGATGGTGTGGAGATCAGGGTCAGGTTCTGGGATGGAGTTTGCGTGGGCTCACAGAGGGGAGGCCCAGAAGGGCTTCCAGGAGGAGGTGATGTTAAAGCTGAGTTTGTGCTCACCCATTTAATCTTCCTGTGACTCCTGTGGAACTAACAGCTTATATAGGCATAGAAACAAAGGTTCCGGGGAATCCAGCTGGCCTTCCACTTGCCGCTATAAAAACACTGCATCTTGCTTCTTTGAGGGTTTGGGGTTATGGTGATCATACTGGCAAGCAGCTTCTGAGTGCTGACTGGGTGCAGGGGTTATTTGAGTCGGTAACTCTGTGTGGTCCTCACAACTACCCTATGGGGTAGATGCTATTAGAACCCCCATTTGACAGCTAGAGATACAGCAACAATAGAGGCTAGTAATCATGATAGCAATAATACTAACAACAATAAATATGTATCTGCTGCCCACGGTTATACAGCTGATAACCACCGGAGTGGAATTTGAACACACATCTTTCTAAGTGGGGGTGCTCTTGTTGGTGCACATTTTCTCCTGTTCCATTGATTATCCTCTGGAGTCGTGGGGCCAGACCTGCGGGGTCCCCCCATCTGGAGATGGTAGCAGAGGTCTCCTCTGAACTCCTCCCTGCCTGCAGTGGGGGTGCTCCCCCTTCCTGAGATGCTGGCGTGGCAGGCAACCCCCAGGAAGGGGCAGTCTCCAGCCCGCACCCAGATAAGTAAAATCACCCTTCCCTGTAAAATTATTAATTTCTCATGACAGGCCTCTGCTACCATGTGCTGTAATAGACAAAGGAATTTTGGGCCCAGAGCCTCTGGAGAACAGGAAATAGATGAGACACTTTGATTGAAGAGTAAATGGCCCACTAAAATAGCAGTTAATCCTTTTATTATCTTTCCAGCAGCCGTTTCCACAGTTCTTTCATGAGGTAAGCCTTCTCCACCCCTTCCAACTGTAACACTCGATCCTGCAGCTGGTTTACATTTAACCTAAGTGTGAAGCCTCGCTCCGCACCAGGCGGCCTCGAGGTGTCGGGGAGGAGCCGGCTCCCCTCTGCCACGCCACCCTGCCCTCAGCCAGGCCTGGGACCGGGACCCCCCTCGCCGGCCCCCAGATAGACCACGCCGCCCATCCCCCCACCTCGCCCTCCCCTGGCTGGTCCCGCCGCCCAGAGGAAGCCCCCTGATCTCTTTGCAATATCCTGTTATGCTTCTTACGTGGTCCGAGTTGTCTTAGCCTTATTACATTTGGGGTTTCATCTGCGTTATGATAGCAAGGTTACGTCCAACCCAAATACCGCTGCGACGCCTCGAAGACCTTAGCTTTGAAAAGATTAATTTCTTGCTTTCTTAGGTTGGCTGTCCCAGACAGTTGGAATTCTGATTGTCTGAGTCTGAAGGAATTAGCTGGGTGTAGTTTGCTTTTCTCCACATCGAGAAAAAGAGAGGCAGAACGAAAAGGAAAAACCTCTGGTAGCCTCGGGTTTTATAAGAAACTTAGAGATCTGATGCAGGACATTTGTGCAAGGAGCTCGGCCATCTCAGCCGCGGCAGCTTGCCTCGGACCTCGCAGCCCCGGCTTCGTCCGGAAGGTCGTCTGGTCTAATTAGCATATGACGTTTTATTGCTATAGGTAATAATGACAACAGCCCCTGACTTCTGTGAAGAGCTTTGATCAACATTGTGAGTGCCGTGTGGGAACTGCATGTAGACAGGTGAGAGTCTGGTCTGGAGTCACAGGACCTAGGTCCCTGCCTGGCCCTGCCTCTCATCAGATGTGCGACCTCAAGCAGGTGACTTGGCCTTTCTGAACTGAAGCACATCTGGTTATTAAATGGGGCGATAATAGTACCTGCCTTTCAGGATTGCTGTTATTAGGATTAAAAGAGAGGACCTAGGGAGGTGCTTAGTTAATTCCGACCTTCCCGCAACACCTTCTTCCATTGATCATCTCAGGAGACCCGTGCAGTAGCCCTAGGAGTTAGGACAGGATCATTTATGGCTCTTTCACGAGGAAACTGAGGCGTGGTAAGTAGTTAGTGGTGGAGGCTGGCCTTGGAGTCAGCTAATTGCACCAGCCTCTGCTGTTGGTGAGGTGGGCAGGGCTGTCACGTGAGCCACTGGCCTTGTGAGGTGTCCACCAGCGATGCAGAGCGCCTGCTCCATTCTGGGTGCCTGCCCAGGACGACTGGCGTAGAAGAGGTGCTGGAAGAGGCATGGGGAGGAGGCTCTGGCTAGAGCCCCTGGTCCCATGCACAGCTGGAGCCTCCAGGCTGGCCTTCCATCCTGCCAGGGTCCCTCCGCAGCTGCAGTGCACCGGCCACTGGTCCCCACCCCTCTCTGTTATGGACACTCTGCCTCTGGTGCCTTTGGACCTGGGGCCAGGGAAATGCATCTGACCAAAAGCTGGTCATTATTCATTATCCTTAACCAGCCAAGACACTCGGACCACTAGCCACCTGGCTGGACCTCCTTGCTCATCTCCCAGAGGGCCGGCCCAGGCCAAACATGCTTTCATGTCACATAATCCTGGGGCTTCTGGATTCTTCTTTTTGCTTTGCCCCAGCCCCCCACACACCTGAAAACAAAACGCTGGGTGCTGGGAGGTGAGGGGAGAGGCAGAGAGTTGCTGTTTATTGAGATTCAGGGTTTTTTATATTCTGGCTCAGTGTTGGCGATTCCCCATGCCATCTTCAGACAAAACTGGTAGAAACTCTGAGGCCAAGAGAGGCTACATCCCTTCCCAAGGTCACACAGTCTGCCACCTGGCAGGGGATGGTTACTGACCATATCTGCCCAGCCAGGCTGTGAGCTGAGAGTCAGAAAGACTTGACTGACAGGCTGGGATCATAACTCATGGGAAGTCCTGAGAGAGAAGAGGACTAACTATTCTGAGACATACTGTGCCCAGCCATGAGTTATCATGCTCCCTTTACAGAAGAGGAAATGGGCATTCAGAGGCCACATGGCCTGTTCTGTATCCCCTGGCTCGGCTGCCAGGACCACTCCAGAGGTTTTGCTGCCTTCCACTTACCACCAGCCTTTGTCCAGCCTCTTTCTTCCAAAGGGTCTATTCCTCTGTGCTTCTTAAATTGCAGCCTACGAGTGCCTGGGCATCTGTGCCTTCCCAGCCCTGAGTTAGGGCATATTTCCAGGCCAGCAGCCACCCT